CTTCGAGCACCTTCATGCACGGCTGATGCCTTAGCTACTTCCAGATATGGCCTCTCAGGCTTGATTTTTTCATCATTCTGGACAAAACCCAGTCCCAGTTTTCTGCACCTTTGGAAATTAGCTAGTCAACAGTTGTTTCAGTAAATATACTCTAGAAAATCAAAATGCCCTTTTAAAATTAATATAATCTCCGATTATCATATTACCTCAGGGAGGAAGGCCTGGTGGTACTTAATAGAGCTCTTTGGGGCTGTTGTGCATTTTAATTGAGTGAATAATTGTAAAATACTTCAGGGCCTTTTGGTAAAGGGTTCTGTATAAACATTCCCATAATGCTGAATAATCAGGTTGCGATAGGAACTGGAATAAATGAACCCTATAAATAGATATATAATTTTCATATACATATAATGTATGTGCGTATATATACCAACATTTTGGAGAGAACAAGGCAGTTACTTTATAAAAGTCCTACAGTTCTTGAATAAGAAAAAAACCCTGAGATTGGAGAGCGGTAATCATAATCAAAATGTTAGTTTTCAAGATATTGTGAACCTGCAATTTATCCTCCTGTGCAACGCATAGAGAATTGCCAGAAGCATTGATGGTGTTACCGCTTCAGTGATGTTTCTTGAGAAACAGCAAAATTATCTTGTGTTCTATGGTGGGAGAACACGGAGGAGGTAGATCCAAGGGACTAAATGTTTAGAGACCTGAAGATGTAGATAGACGTGGTTTGGAGGAACCAAGGGAGTTTCACTTCAGATGGCTTTCCCAAGGTATTGCTGCAATGCAGTGGTAGGGTTTGGAATGGAGCAGAGATCTTCTGCAGCCCAAGTCAGTGCCCTTCCAGGCATTTTCCAGGTGGAGCAGTGGGAGAGAACGCAATGGTGAACGTGGCTCACCAAGCCTCGGCGGTGGTAGTGGTGCTAGGTCTGTAGCTGATCTGCTGTGTTACCCTGCATGAATCAGTAGCCGCTCTGTTTCTCCGGAATGCTTTGGCTGTCTGATCTCTGAAGAATATAATTTTCTGGGGCAGTGACTCCTCTGTTTCTGTGCTTGTACTCTCTCGTTATTCAGCCCGTTAGGAGGGGGAATGCCTCTGAAATGGAGATGGTGGGGATGAACTTTTTATAGTTCATGCAAAAAAAAAAAGCCTATGCTGGGCAACGCAGTCCTCATACAAAGAACTCTCTATTTTTAAAAGGGACTTGACACAGTGATGATGCCACTTCACTTAGTTAATGAAAGGAGCCATCTAATACAGGCTAAATGCAAAACTACTAAAAGGAAACTGGCATTTGAATGGCTTGAGTGCTTGAAATATAAATGAATGGGACAAGACCAGACTCTGTTTCTAAAGGAATCAATTATCAGGCATCCTCTTACTACTGTGAAGCTCTCATTTGCAGGAGCAGCCAAAGCTATTTTTGCTGGGAGCAAGGATATTCGTTGCTTGAGATTAAGCACATCTTCGAAGCACCAAGGAGACACTGAGGAATGCTATGGATTCAAGAGGGGTAGAAAGACTCTGAAATTATTTTCCTTGCTGTAAACCCACTGAAGAGACTGACGTAGTGCTGGGCACGATTTGAGTTCTGTAGAGTTGTACCCACAGCCAGAATGGTTTGACAAAATGATCCATTGTGTATTAAATCTACAGAGTCAAACGTAGAAAATGTGTGGGCTATTCAGTGTCTTAGAATAAGAATTAGGTTGGACTAAAGTTTCCTTTCTCTTTTCAACTGCAGAAAATTAAGGATCTGTAAAAGAAAATGTCTTGAGTGAAGGATAATGGAATATACTGATTGCTAATGAATTTTTTGCTTCTGGAAGGTTCTCTGATGGCCTGTATGAGCTGGTAGCTGGGGGGTTTTCCAATAGGATAAGTGTCTGAGCTACCACAGAAAGCAGAGGTATCCCTGTTTAGCAGGTTACTGAAATCTTGGAGACAGGTCAAGGACTGACTTTACTGTGAAGACCCCATTACCTCTTCCCACCCAAAGATAGTCCTTCCAGGTGAGATCTGAAGCCTCCAAACCTTAATCTCTTTAACAGGGTAGTGCGAGGAAGCTTGCTGCATTTGTTCAGGGGACGAGTTTCTTTCACATGACCGTTACTTCACCATTTTTCACAAGCTCCAGATTCACTTAAACATCATGCATAATGCTACTGACATCTGATATCTATAGCTTCCCTTCCCAGCTGCCAGGGATTTCATGCTTCTGATGAAACAGCTTTAAAATTGCAAAGACAGCCAAAATGTAGCCTAAAATCGCAATGATCAAATGCTGGGGCTGTTACAAGGGATTTTTTTTTTTTTTGTCAAAAAATGAAGAATGGTTGTGTGTCAGAATATCACGGTATTAAGGATCAATTATGTTTCCACTGACATACCGACTGTTGTCGACTGATGTGGGATCTTCTGTTGCCTGGTGCGGTTTACCCTTCAGTTGCTCTCTGATTCCACTTGGTGGGTTCATCTCTGGTTGCATATTGCTTTATTTTGAGCTTGGTTGGTAAAGAAAAATGTTTTCAGAAAATTTCATCAAATAACATGTGCTGCACTGATGTCAGCTGAGGAAATCAGCGTCAAGAGCAGGAAAAGCCAGAAGATGAATGGATCTCTTAGTTCAAAATAGGAAACAGCTTGAAGTTCCTTTGGGGGGAAACAGAAACCTCATTCATTAACGATGACATTATTTCACCTCTGGTACAGAGTAAGGATTCTGTTCTCCCGGTGATGGACAGACACATCTCACATTCATGCAAATGACCCTGAGCATTCAGAGATACAAAGGAACAGCCCTAAAATATTGACGGTTTTGTCTGGTGAGCTATTCTCATGATCCATGTGTGGCTGAGACATATGGCAGAGGGAAAAATGCATTATTTGTGTCCCTGAATTGATTTCAGTCTGTGTAAGGTATGCGTGTTTCCCTGTCTCATCTCAATGGATATCAAAGTAAATCTGTGTCACCGAAGAGAAGGATCTTGCCTGGTTGATGCAGTATTCATTTGTTCGTACTTTGATATGAGGATCATGTCTGATCAAGCACTCATATATTTTGTGCAGGATTTATCAGTCAGATGTATCTAGGTTTCTGGAGTTTTCCCTGGTGTTTGGTAGTCGTGTACATCCATCTACTTGTTCATAGTCACGTACACAAAATTTTTGTGGGGTTTGGGTTTTTTCCAATCGAATTTAGAGGAGTTTGTGAAGTCTGGTTAAGAACATCTCCAATTGCTCAATATAAAATGGTCAGTAGGAGATTTCCTGAGTGCCTTTATGTTCTGTTCCATTACTCTGCGTACCTTCCCTGTGTTCCCTTGGGGCCCAGAGCTGCAGCTAGCAGCCTGACTCCTGCCTCATATTATTCTGAAATTTCTTTATTTATCTTAGACTCTGTCATTTTGCCTAAACATTCCTATTTTCCAGAAATCAGCTTTTAAAGTGGAGATACCTATTAACTTTCTGAAGTCATATGCCAGTGAATCACAGAACTGTTTAGTTTAACTAGACAAGTCCTATCGTGATACACGAAAATTATTTCCTTCTTCAAAGCCATGTTTATTTTCTTTTGCAATGAGCTGGCTGTTTTATTGCGAAAGAATCTGTAAAGGAGGTAATTTTAAGTAGGCACAAAATAAATTCTGTTCTGTAAGGTGCACATAACCTTTCTAGAAGATCCTAATTAACCTCCTCGTGTCAGCAGAGGAAGGTCTATTGCTTTTGTAATTGTCGAGCCTGTCTTTTTTTTAATAGGCATGCTCCCTTTCGGACACCTATAGGCATCGTCATCGACAGAGCAAGTTTTCATTTCAGGATACTAGAAACAACGGTAGATTCATCGAAGGCTGAAGTTCAGCAGTGCAGAACTTCCAACTGTTATCTTGCTTGTCTGTAACGATTATGCCCCTACAACATCTGAGTGGTACAAAGCATTTAGTGAATAAAACCCAGTCCTTACTGGGTTGGCTCCCTGTGCTGCCATAAGGTGGAATTACTACTGGACCACAGAGCAGCAGTGATGAAGGTACCAACTCTTGGGGAAGATGCTGGTTTACGACTTGGTTGTGATCCAGATTCACCGTAACCCTGTGAGCATCTTGGTGCGGAGAGGGCACAGCAGACTTTAGGATGTGACGCTGATGGCCACATCCAGGTGCCACTTTGTCTCACATCTGTGAATCAAACTGCAAACATTCATTAGTGAAGCTGGAATTAAGTCCTCCAACAGAAAAACACAAATTATCTGGTGATATTTGTACTACACTGGATCATTTTGATAACACTGTTTTCCAAAAGAAATCAAAGCTGCTATGTGCCTGCAAAATGTGCCTGCCTGTGCCAGGCCAAATCCTGCTCTCAGCAGTGCAAATTCAAAATATGGGTATTGTCAGTAGTGTCTTACAGTCATCCCAATTTAAAATAAGAACTGTATTTGCTTTAATAATGCAGTTTCCCAAGCTCAACTTTGATGAATTGCAGAAGCAGGCTCTTATCAAGTAACTCTGTGGTTTTCTCTCTTTTTTTTTCCTGAAAAGAGCAGGAAGTTTGCCATTCTGCAGAGCAAGATGAATGAATTTGTCATTAGAGGCTGGATTTTCCAAGAAGGATTAGGGTGTTCTGCAGTCCTGTAAATGCGGGAATCCTCCTTGTAAGCCCACTATTTCTTTAGGCTCATGATCAAAATTTGCTCTATAACTACATATGCAAAAGAGGGAGAAGGAATCTGAAACATGAACACCTAACAGCAGCTACAAATTTAAGTGAAAATGATGGAAATTCCCTTACTCATAGTCAGAAATTATTAACTGTTTTTAGCATTTCACAGTGAATTGCTATTTCTCAGCCCTATGTTAAAGGGTGAAAAAAATGCACAGAACCTTCTTGTTAGTGCACAGATGTGCTGAAAGGTCACCAGCATGACAGGAGAGAGATGTTTTCATCTGATAATACTACCTCTGCTTTCTTTCTCTGTGAATTTTTTTTCTAGTTATCCATTTCCCATGGTATTCAGTAGCTGCAGTAGAAAGGACCTGGAAAACAGCCTGGAAAAAGGAGTGGGGATGTGTCTCTTTAACTTGCCTGAAGTCAAGGAGTCCTTTGGTGGACAGAAGTGTGGGAATGGCTATGTGGAAGATGGAGAGGAGTGCGACTGCGGGGAGCCTGATGTAAGACACCACCTGAGAATTACTGCTCGCCTCCTGTCTGCGGGTTTTTAACAGGAAAGACGAATGAGAATTGGTTTGGCACGTTTAACGCTACCTGGTGTAAAACAGAGCTCTCCTTTCACTGCTTCTATCTTATCGGCTTAAACCTCAGAGTTGCTTAAATCTTGACTTGCATTTGAGTTGCTAAGGTTCAGGCAGGGCTTTAGGCAAGAAGGTGCTCGGTTCGTCCTTAGAGAACAAACTCTCTCGTGGCTTGTCCGACAGACTAACCATGACTAACTGCCGTGTTCCTAACAACACAAATTCCTTTAAGTACTAGCTAATAAGCTAAATTAAAAAGAAATTCATTAACATCGTTCAAATTTCTCAAGACGCCTTGCATTAATCGAAGGTTTGTTTCCATATATGAGGAGCCAATCATATCTTTATATTAATATAAATATAAATAGTTCTATAAACATTAATATTGCCTAGGTATTTTTTCATTGCAGACAGCTTCAGGTTTTAGGTACAAGACCTTCCCTCCCTCACTATGAGATTTTTCTTTTCTTTGCTGCTAGCCAATTACCTTACTAACAGAAATAGCCTTTGCTGCCTCCCAAAAAGATTGCTACTTCTTCAAAGATCATTCCGTTTGGTTTAGTGAATGTGTCAGAGGACTGCTCAGATCAGGAGGAGATAGGCAAAACCTGGGGGTCAAATAAGATCCGAGCCAACATCCTTATCCCTTTGGCTTCTCGTGCTCATTGGCTGTATTGAACTTCGCTCAGATTATCTGAATTAAATACATCAACAGATGAGGGATTTGTTTCCTGTGATAAATATGGTTCTGCAGACAAAATAGATTGGGGCAGTTAAAACAGTGAGATATTGCTGTATCCTGTCTATAACAGTGTATTGGATTTACACAAGCCATAAGGATTTCCTGACAGTTCACTCATTCTTCAGGGTAACAAGGTTGGAGGAAGCAGGCTTATCTTCTTGTTTAAAGTCAATAGAGTGCAAGCAGCTTGCAAATGTCTTTCTAACCCAGTTATCTTTCTCATTTTCACTTTCCAATGTTAGCAATACCTTTTCAAGTCAAAGCCACTTAACATCAGCAAGCACTGGCTTGATTTGCCTCTTCTTTCTATGTTTTTCCTTTTTAATTATATTGGAATACTGCAGCTTGGGCCCAATTAAATTAATTTGGAATTTACTGCTATAATCTGAGTGGCACCAGAAAACCCATTAGATTAGTTAATAATTCACTGCCCAGTCATTTATACCAGCTGAGTTTTGTCAATACTGTTGCAATATTTTGTGGCGTGGAAAGCTGTACAGTAACATATGCTAGTTGTATTTTACCAGTGATCAGAATTCAATACCAGTCTCCAGTCTCCATACGTAGATGTAGGTGGTTGGTAGGGATATTTCTCTGTTACTCGAAGTAACGTTAGCCCCGTGTTGAGGTCTGTGCTCCCTGATGCTCCTTAGCGGTAGGACAGCAATGGATTCGTAAGGATGGAGAGTCGTGACTGTAGCACACCTTCCACCCTTCAGACAACTCTGGAAACACGAATGCAGTAGGGACTGGTTGGCCACCTCCACCCACACTACAGTCTCATATGCATCAGGCGCTGGTCATCTTCTCGAGTATAACGGATGCTGGCATGCCCACCGCAAAGCAAGAGTGTAAGACCTGACCAAGGATGGTATTACCAGTTAAGCTCCAACTTCATTTTGGATTCTATTACCAAAAATGTCTGACATGCTACAGTGTCTCTAGAAGGAGCATTAATGTAGATTACACATGGAAAGAGAGAAGAAGGGGGGGGGGAAAATAAATAAAAAAAAATCCTTGGTCCCTGAGAACTGAAAGGTGACAAATGTGGTTAATTTTATAACAGGCTGCAAGGGGGATCAGAAAACTACAAACTGGTAAATCAGAAGTCAGACAAATTACTTCCAAATGTAATTAAGAGCTAGTGCCTGAACAGCTGTGACATGCCAGGGATGAGTCAATACAGCTTTTGTGCCAGGAAATCTTGTCTTACAAACCTATCGCCGTGCTCCGAAGGACTTAATAAGTGGATAAAAAGGGATGATGCTGTTAGTGCAGCCTGTTAGGAGTTCAGAGAGGCCTTAGACCAAAGCCTTTCACCAAAGCCTCTTTAGGATACTAAGCAGCTGTAGGATGAGAGAATATTGCATGGGTGAAAGCTGGGTTAAAAGGTAGGAAATACAACCAGGTATAAATCATCCATTTTATGCAGTGGAAGGAGATCTGCTGTGATGTACCCATGAGATATATCCTGGGGACCATGCTACTTGGCATATTCATAAACAGCCTGGGGAGAGGAATAGTCTTGAATTTGCTGATGATATTGGTTGGGATGGTAGAGATGAAAGCTGGCTGTGAAGAACCGCAGAGGAACCTTCTGAGGCAGCTGGACCGAGCATTAAGATGACAAATGGGATTCAGGCCCAAATGATGCCCATTCCAAACATCCCATACGAGATGATGGACTCTGAGCTGACTCTGACCATAGAGGAACAAGACTTCATACTGCAATAAATAGTCTCATGAAAATGTCAGCTCCGTGCTCACGAGTGGGCTAAAAGGTAAATAGGCTGTTAGAAATTACTAGGGAAGAAATAGGAAAACAAAACAAAGCACCAGTAGCCTTCTATAAATCTGCAGTGTGCTGCAGCTGAAACTGCATGTGCAGTTTTTTCCTACCCCTATCTGATGTCAGGCAGGATAAAGGCGAATGAAAAAGGTTGAAATAAAAGCAATAAGATGGTTCAAAGTTTTGGAGGGGCTCTGGCTGGAAAAGGAGAAAATGAAGGAAAATGTGACAGAGGCTGGTAAAATCGTGAGTGACGTGGAAAGGGTGCGTAGGGAGCAATTGCCCCCCAACAGGAACTGTGCATAAGAAGTTAGAAAGCGGCAGGTTTCAAACAAGCAGAAAGAGCTGCTCCCCAGACTGTGCCAGTTACCTGTGAGTTCCTTTCCACTGAATCTTACAGGTGCTAAAATTGTCCGTGGAGCCAAGGGAAAGCCAGGAGAGTAGGAAGGTATCACGTATGTGTGTTCACATTCTTGCCCTTAAGCATTTTCTGCTGGCTGCTGTCAGGGGGACAGATGACTAGAAGGGTTATAGGCTGGCCCAGTGTGGTCTGGCTTGTGTCCTTAGAAAAGCAGCGTTGAAAATAAGATGTCCTGTCTAGAGTATCTGACATCATGCAGGTGATGCTAGAATTGCTGTTGCCTTAGTCTGTCTGAGATGCTCTGATGAGCCCAGGAGACCTACACCAAGAAACCCAACCCCCACCATTGCTGTTCTTACTAATAATTAATAATATTAAGCACAACACAGCAGTAGTTTCAGGTGGCAGCCTCCAGCCTCTGAAAGCCTTGTGAGCCTTTTCTGTTGGCTTGCCTGTTTATGTTAAAACCATTCCTGAAAATGTAATAGCCCGGGCACAGAAACTATTTACCAAGCTCATTCCCTACAATGAGTAATAAGTGAGTGAGCAATTGGAAATTTCAAAGGCTGCAGTAACATCATTCAAAGAGCTGTGTCTTTATCCCAAGCTGTCTGTGGAATGCCAATTGCTTTCCATGGCTGGCTGGTGTAGGGCCAGATGATGGGGTATAGGAGCTGGCTGTTTCAGAAGTATCTTAATTGGACTGACATTGCTTTCCTCCGCTCTGCTTTGCTCAGATTGCTATTGAGGTGAATTTATAAAATGTGCTTCTGTGCAGAGGCACGTTACTTCTTAAATACAGCAGCTGCACAGAAATATTTGCGTAGCCTGCTGCCTTCTGGCATGATCCAAAATAGGTGCAGGAAGTTGTTCCGCTGCTCCAGAGCAGCACAGTTAGCTTTGGATATTCAGGCAGATATTATCTGAGAAAACAGTGAAATGCTGAGAATCATTTTGAACTTTATTTGCGAGTGCAGTGGTAGCCCTCTCTTCCAGTTGGAAAGCTTTACAAAAGCCAATAAAGTAAGAAGAGGCTGTGAACATCATTCTAACCCACTTATTTTTCCTGTGTTCCCTATATTGTTAGTGATCCCTTGTTAAGTCAAACTGACTTAACACAGCTGAAGAGCAATTTTATCTGCTGCTATTTCTGTTAGAGAGCTGAGATTCCAGCACAGCTGATGTAACTTGCAGCTTGTGAGCATAATCTTGGGAAAACAAACCCATTATTTTCCGAGACTTCTTACTAGCTCATTCTACAGAGAATAAAGTTTGCAAAAGCCCACGCATGCCACCGTCTAATCCGTAAGTGTGAAATTGGGATGTATCAGTTAGTGATAATGCAATTCATCCTTTTCTCACAGCTCTGTTACTGGCATGCCCTGATAAGGGGTGACATGGAATAGTGTCATCGTCTTGCTTTGTGGCAGCCACCAGTCTCCGTGCAGCACAGAAGCCTGGTGAGCAACTATCACAGAAGAGAGCCGCTGTAGTGGTGATGCTCAGCAATTGTAACACAAGTCCTGGACAGGAGGCAATGGAATCATTCCATTGATTTTTGTGGACAGAAAACACCGTGCTGCTATGTCAGGATTGCTATCAGCGTACTTGAGTTGTTTGTGATATTTGGGATTGGATCCATAGCTAGAACAAACTGGCCATCCTCAATGGCTTCTCTGGTTTCACTACAATTATTGCACATGTTGAATCTAAGGACAGACAAGACTGTTCGGCTCAAGTTGTAGAATTTCATGCATAATTCATTATTTCATGCCTCGATTTTCTTGGCGGAGCTATAGGCAGCCTCTTGATTTACAGCTCATTGTGACTGAAAGTCGTCTGCTCTAAATTTATCCTCCATCTAGGAATGTACAAACCGGTGCTGTAATGCAACTACCTGTACTTTGAACCTGGGAGCGGTGTGTGCCCATGGACTTTGCTGCGAAGACTGCAAGGTGAAGCAACGGAAACGTTTCTTATTTGGGTGGGGTGGGAAGAATTCCATAATCTTCTCAACTGCAGAGCAATAAGCCAGGATGCAGAACAAGCAAATTGGTGTCATTAAGCATTAAGACACTTGCATTTCATGTAAGCAATTCAAAAAATTCTCAGACTCTAGCAGTTATTGAAGGAGCAGATCAACAGACTTTTTTAATGGTGTCTGTGCTATTTGTAGCCGCTTCATTTGCTCATGCAAAACCTCTTCTTTTTTCATGAACCTTTATACGCTTTGATTTTTTTCATGCTTATATAGATGTGCTCTGGCAAGCAGTCATTAAATGCTGGGCCCTCTTTTTATGGGAAGACTCCTAAAATATTAATTCTGTCAACAGCATATATATTTTTAATGGCACATCATCAGCTCTCGTAGACTCCTAACGTACTATAAAAAGCCAACTTGCCGCAGGCATTTACCTTCTTGAATTCTCAGACCATCCTTGCATACGGGCTAATAAAGCATTCAGCAAGTTTCCATTGTGTCTGTGGCAACCATCTGCCTAAAAGCTCGGTAGCAGCAAGCTATCAAAACACCTAGGAAGTGCTTTTAGCAGGATCAATCTTTGTGTCCTTTTGCTTTTTACCAAAGGCACTGGATGCAGTTAAAATTCCGTGCTGCTCCCAGAGCACCCCCATCTTTTGTGGTTGTTGTTGATCAGTGAATGTTCCGATTGGCACATTCCACGATTGCTTACTAGTTGCCTTCAGCTTGGAAAAAAAATGTAGTTATCCAGGGAAATCAGGACCAGACAGGAACAGTTACAGGAACTGGTTGTATAATTAAGTTGAAGAAGACCTTGACGCCCATGACAGCGTGACATTTCCATGAGGAAATGCACCTCCATCCCAGGAGGCCATCAGGCAGCTGAATCCTGAGTCAGGAGGGCCGGTGGCTTCGTGAGCCACAACATAACACCTAACATGATGTTAAGTGATCGACTGGCTGCCCTGATCACGGCTGCGTTGTTGTGGCCATATGGATGAAAAGGTTTCTGGCCTGACTTTTGGTCAGTGCTACAGAGCACCCTTTGCGGTAGAGCCCAAACTGTGTGTTTAGGCGTGATTGCAGGAGGCACCCTGAAAACTGTGGTTCGTATTTGAAAACGAGCAAAAGACTGGGTTTACCTTCTGACCCGAGCCGCATGAGCCATGTTTGCAGCTGCAGCTGCAGTTTGGCCCTCCCGCATGCCAAACCCTTCGCAACCTGTGTCAAATAAATGTATTTAAAGAGCTGTGTAATCCTTAGACTGTCCTCTGCGGTCAGTTGGTGCAGAGCCAGTGGAAAAAGCCGTTCGTGCGCTGCATGGGTTATACCACTGCATAACTCTTCTTGATCGGACTTACGGCAGTTAAGGGTTTTTGTTTGTGTTGCAGTTAAAGCCAGCGGGGATTTCTTGCAGAGAGTCAAGTAATTCCTGTGATCTGCCGGAGTTTTGCACGGGAGCCAGCCCTCACTGCCCAGCTAACGTGTACCTGCACGACGGGCACGCGTGCCACAGGGTGGATGGTTATTGCTACAACGGCATATGCCAGACCCATGAGCAGCAGTGTATCACCCTCTGGGGCCAAGGTGAGTTTGAGAACCAGGAGATCTGTTTATGAGGTAAGACTTGGAAAAAAAAAAAGCGTGCGTATAGATGGATTTGGAGGAATTTTATACAGTACCAATCTGCGTCTCTTCTTTTCCGAACTGGAGAACTGAATAATGAGGGAATCATTCTGTGATTCATTTTATCCTTGATTTGCAGTCGTGTTCATTTCTTGCGGCAGGAGGTAGAGAGCAACAGTAACCAGGTTCATTCTGCAACACTGCTGCAAATGGCTACATGAACTTAGACAAACCATTTAATACTGACTTCGATATGGCCTCTGTCATCCCAAAAAGTGCTGAGGCTCTTGGCAGGTTGAAATCGCATCCCTTGCCAGACTGGTATGTAAGCTTCCTTCTGTGCTCTAAATCGCTCGTCTGCAAAACATATATATCTGTCTGCATCCCAGAACAGAGTTCAATATCTGACATTAGCGTAAGATTCTGGTGTCATTGCGTGTATTTTATTAATTGGTGTTACCCTGTAAGCCTGCCTCCTGACAATACTCTGAGCAGGGTATGCACTGAAGCAGAAGGAGATTTTATTCTCCCATGGGAATTTACTTATGTTTTGGAAAAAATCTAATAGCATGTGTTCCTGGGTTACCCTAAACAGATGATATCCCAGGAAAGCTGTTTAGCTTTCTGTTACGTCCTGTGGCCCTTCCACTGAAATACAAGTATTAACTCGGCATTTTGCTATTGCTTCCAGCATCGCTGGGGACAAGTCTTGTCTCCTTCAGCGTCTCACTTGCTCCCCCTCTCACATGGGAAAAAAACCTTGAACTCCCCTGAAGAGAAGCATTAATTAGAGCTAGATTTAATTATTTCTTTTAAACTAACTTTTTCCACCCCCTTTAGCCTTTTTCAATTCAGCATCTCTCTGCCTTGAACTCTGTTTTGAAACTTGTATACCAATATAATGACATACAGATGTTTCCCTTGGTCAAAATCTTCATCAGCAGTCTATTGAAGAACGTATCTCTTATCTTCACAGGGACCTGGACCATTCAAAATTTTTGTTTTGAGAGATCTGAAGAAATAATGCCACTGATGCAGATAGGTTAGCTTGGTCATGTGGGTATATGAACACATTAGACGAGTTCCAGTTCAAAATTAAACTCCCCACATGGAACAAACCATGCATCTGGTATACGCCTCCGAATCCCACTTGCGTTGCAGAGTTTAATATGAGCTCATATAGGCATGTACAATTATATCCTCCAGTCTTAGTCATACTGGGATTTTTAATCCCCTGGCTACAGAGACATTTTCTGTTGTATAAAGCAAAATCTCCTTATGAACCAGTTTCCCATGCCATGGAAAGTTACTCGGTAGGACTGTTAATAATTTCAGTCGCTGAGAAAAATTCAGCTAAAGGTCAGGCAGCTGAATTGCTGCAGCTCCCTTGCCAGGTCTGTTTCCTAATGCAGCACATCCTCCAAACCCCCAGGCTCCCCTAATTCTGTCTTGTCTTCCTTCTTGGAGGGGTAGTCAATATGGGCACTGCTGTGCATGGAGTCTCCAGTGGTCAAGGCTATGGGGGTCTGCTTCTGAGAAAGATGACTTCGTTAAGAACAAAGCTCAAACAGACTTTAACTGGAATACCCTTACTTGTCTTGGGAATACCCAAGGCTAAAGATTTTGAAAGGGAGGATGGGATGTTACCAAACCTGAACTGAAAGGCTTGATTCTGATCACATGGTTGGAAGTATAAATTAGAAATAATGCAGGTAAAGTAAACCTTCAAGCAGTTTAGCAGATAAGGTTCAAGCCAAAACCAAGGCCTATAGTCTGGATTTAAAGATGAGGGATGTGAATATCCACCACTTGATCATCTCTGGTTGGAGTATGAGCTGGCAGATGCAGGGTGGAATGGGAAGAGGGCTAGGTGGGCCACGCAGTTGGAAAAATATCATGGGACAGATAAAAAAAACTTTCCTTCCAGCCTTGTTTGCTTGCAGCAGAGAGACTTTACATTCTAAGGCGTCGTCTCTGGGCATTTTATCAAAAAGATACATTTGAACCTTTTACCAGACTGTTGCAACTGATTAAAATTGGTTTTAACAACTGCACATGTTGAATTAGAGTGAAGGAGTAGTTGTGTGGTTTTTTAAAAAAATTCTATACCATAAAGAGAAAATAGATCGCAGTTTATTTACATTAATTCCTTTTTTCTTCTTCTCAGTAGGAGAAAGCCATTCAGAACAAAATACAATAATTTTTCTTAAAATAATATTCAGTGTATTGAATTCCTTATCAATGTCTTCTTTTGTATAGCTTGCTTTATTCATCAGATTACGCTATCCAGTAGCCCAATGATAAACATCCATCTTCATATTTTTAGATCTAGCTAAATTAAAATGATGAGCACTGTCAGAGTTTGTTTACAGTAGGCTGAGCAACAGGAACCTGTTTCCAGAAAGAAGTACTTGCATTTCCTTGGGGCTTTTTTTTTACTTTCAGTGGATAAATTCAAAACAAAGGGAGGAATATTTTTTGCTATTCCCTATCTGCAATAGCATGGAAAGCTTGGTGTCAAAGAGGGGAAGAGCACATGGGGACAGTCTCTGAAAATAACCGTAAATTCTTCTTAAAGACCAAGTCCATTCCCAGAACACACAAATTTCTCTGCTCTCTGCCTTACCTTAATTCATGTCATTTTTCTCATTAAGGAGCAACGTGCATGAATTGCTTGTGACCTTTTTAGGCTTCATATTCAAAAATATCAAATCACACTGATCTGACCTATTGATAGTAGCATGACTGAAGGATACATCGATAGTAATGCATCCGTGTGACGTCTGCTACTCCATTGGCATTTTCCAGGAGCAACAGATAAAGCTACTAAAGAGTGAAAAATCATTGATTACCAAGAAATAGACGATTCTCAGCTTTACACTCAAGGCTTTTTTTACATCGACAAGAAAATTATTCTTCAGGGAAGGAAAGGAGATGTTTGTCAGAGTGTTTTCCTACTTTTCCCTGAGAGGGAAAAAAGCAATGATTTGGGGGAGCCAATGGCAGGCATTGACTTAATAATTAGAACATACTTAAGTTTGTTGCATGGGCATTAGTTTAGGCAGGAACAATCTTAATTTTAATGTCAATATTTGTTACAAAGGTCTGTCACTGCTTTGCAATTTTCTCCAGGTACAACCCTATAGGCAAAATAGATGGGCTTCCCATCTAAGTTAGCCGACCAAACCATTGTGGACTGGTTGTTTGCAAAACCACTGATGTATCCAAGCACTGTAAACAGTTGAATTCAGTAAAATAAAACTATTTTGATCATCACAGATTTATGGCCAGGCCTTTTCTTTTGGGGCTGTGAAAGGCATTAAGCCATATTCTCAGAGGCAGTGAGAGTTAGCATACTCCTTAAATGCAAAAAATAACAGCTCAACCCCATCTCACTCTTGCACAAACTTAACAACAGGGATCACCAAGACGAAGAGAGAGGCCACGGGGAGCTTGCGGAAAATTTGCTTCGCATCATCAGTGCAGTAAAACAAACTTAATGAGATATAAAACCCAGGTGCAAATCACATGACAGAGAACTGTATTTTTATGCTTATATTTGTTGATACAGTTGCTCGTGGTGCTGGTTGGCATAGCCTGAGCAACAGAACTCCAGCCTGTTACTCGGAAGTTGGATTATTTTTTCCCCCTTCACACCCACAAACACTGTATAATCTTTTTGGAATAAGTCATGAGACAATGTTGTGTACTGAGTTGAAATATTTTTCTTTTCCGCTGTCGGCCTGATAGCGGGTGTTCCTCTGCTCTTGGAATCAGCACCATGGTCAGAAATTTCTCTCTTCTCTTTCAGGAGACGGGGGACGGTATTTTCTCATTGCAGTAGGTCTCACACTGATCTGAAATGCCACAGCATTTCTGTATCACTTCCAAAAGCATAGAACATCTCCTTTTTTTTGCAACCGTATAGGGAAGAAGTGAGCTCATCAATATACACATTTGGAGAAAAAAAAAAAATGTCTCCAGGCTAACAACTGCAGTGGTGAGCTTTGACCTTCTGCAGTTCGAAATGGCTGATTTAATCCCTTGAATAAGGCTTGGCCTGGGAAGTCTGACAGGACCTTAATTACAGGGTCACAATACTATAATTATCAATAGCAAAGTGAAATAAACTCTGCTTGACCAGCTCAAAGCACTTAATAACCACTAGAAATCTTTCACAAATCATTTTGCCTTTGCCTGTAGAGGTAGCAAAATAGAGAAAGACAGGACTTTCTGCTTCAGTTTATATGGTGCAATCATGATAAATGGGTTTCCTCCAGAAACACAACATTACAATTCTCTTCCTTAAGCATCCTCTGAAAACCTCCTTTTAACTTGGTAGCTCCATCTGTTCAGCTTCTTACATTCTGATATGTTTTCATCTATAAAAGAGTCCAAATATTGTGAGAAACCAGTCAGGAGAGGGAACAGCCATCAGAATCCCAAGCAACAACATGTTTTGGTTTGATACCAAAGACAGAAATTGAAGCTAGATTTTGGTTTCCAAGCCGCAGATGATCTTTGGGTACCAGGTGTTTTCGTACATAGACTGCCCCGAGCCTAGCAGGGGAGCATTTTTTTGTACTCCATGAGATCTGTTTTCTTGTCAAGCATTATTGGTAGGAGTTAAAGCTCACTGTCTGAGCCCTGCAAGGATGCTGCAGATGTGTTCTTCTTCCTGCAGGCTGCTTTCCATCACGTGCAGCACACTTGACTGCTACGTTCAAAAAAAACCCAACCAAACAAAAAAAGTTTCACCAGGTGAAAGAGGAAGATAAATACCTTAAACTCTCTTCTCATTTCAGTCAGCCCTTTCTCCTTTTAACACCATTTTTTTAATAAGTCTTTTTGGGGGGAGTCAAAGCACAGGACACGAGCATTCATTTTGCTTTTGGCAGCTTTTGGAGCCACACACCACTCTGGGGAAAGCGTGTCTGTGCTCTGGGCTGCTGTTGACACATCTCCAAGGAAGCCTCCAGCCCTTGCAATGATACTGGCTGAATTAGTTGGGGCACAAGGCTCCCAGCCAAGAAAAAACGAGACCCATAGCAATTGCATATGATCGTGGTAGGTGGGTTGGGGAGCTTATTCATTTGGAGAGGTAGATCTGCGCAAGTCGGCCTTTGCAGATATGGGAGAAAAAGCAGTTATACTTGGCCTCCTGCTTACAGTGTGGTTTTTTTCCTTCCCTCCCCTTCCCTTCTAAAGCCAGCATAGTATATGCACATGTTAATGTTGGTGTCAAGCTGAATAGTTAATGAGCCTGCCCTGGAAAGACGAGGAGGACTCTACATGCTGAAAATGGAAATTTTACTTCTGCTTTCTGCACAGTGCCTTGTCTGGATGCTTTTGTTGATTTTTTGATTATTGCTTGTGGTTTAATGAAAAGAAGTGAAAGAATCCTGTGTGAGTCCCTTTTAATAGTTCCAGATTTGAGAAATATTCTGAACTCCGCAAGCTTGATCGTAATCTTCCAAAGAATTTCAAGCTCTTGTCCGGCTCTCCAGGGAACCAGCAGCTCGTATTCTGTTCCTTCTGTGCCTTTCTTTCTGAGTTTTCCAGTTTCAGTATGTAAAAATGTTAGAAGGAAAAGAGGGTACCATCTTAAGCCTCTCCAAGTTTTAATATTTTGTTCTTAATAGCATTAGATTGCTGTTCAGCGGTATATAGTATTAGTCAAGCTTCTGACTGTGAAATGCAGATAATTAATTGAGGCTCTAATCTTTGAGTTATTAGTGAAAAGATCCACCCTAACTGGAAGTGTTGCAATCATACTTGTCTTTTCTTCTCTGGGAATTTGACCCCCTTTTTTTTTTTAAAAACCTTCTTCCTCTTTGAAGGATTTCAAATGAAATCTTCAGGATGGTTTAAATAAATGGTATGTTTTACCCACTGTTAGACACATACACACTTGGAAGTGGCTCAAAACATTTGAAAAAAAATCTAATGTTAACTCAGATATTCTGTCTCTGTTAAAGATCAGGGAACACTGCAGAAATGGTATATGCTCAGCCTTTAGGCTATCACATCATTTGTTGCCAGTTCTTTTTGTTTTAGTTTGGCTGATCTATCAAAAGTATGAAAATGTATGTAGCAGATAATCTGTTAAGAGTTTTAGCCAGTGTATCTCCTTATGACCTCCTTTCCTCGAGGCAAGGCTGCCTATTGGAGTAGTTGAAATGTTGGCAAAGACTTGATTGTGCTATTAATTATCCTCATGGGAAGAAAACATGGGGTAGTAAAGGGCCCTAGCAAAGGCCCTCTTAATCTTACAAAGACCAGCAATTACTGGCTGGAAATAAAAGCCACACTTCACATTAGAACAAAGGGCTTAAATTCTAATACATGGGCTAATTAATCATTGCAACAGTCAAACCAGGAAAGAAGATCCTCCACCTCTTAGACGTTTCTGATGAACGCATGTATCTTCCCCTAGAATATATCCAATACTTGGTCATGATCTGGGAAAAAATGGACAGGAGATTGTCTGTATAAGACATTAGAATAGATGTTGTAAAAGTACCTTTTAACCTCTAAAACGTAAGGATGAGTAATCTGTCTGCACGGATATTTCCAGTACTACTCCCATCAGGGAAGTTCCTTTGCTGTTGGGACATGTCTCCATCATAAAAGGCTATGGTAGATAAGAACCAGATGCTGCCTGTCTTCCCAAATCCCTACTTCTACCACCATGGTAGAAATGATCCTTCTTTCAAGCCAGTTTTTCCTCTCCATAGTGAATTTACTGGGGATTAAGGTGGGGCTGGGTTCTTTTCCTCTCCCCAGTACATGAGCTTGAGCTAACAGCAGCATATTCTCTTTGCGATGTCATGTCTTCATGTTTTTACAGTCACATAGCACTCTTGTTTGCAACTGGATTTTTTCTGATTTCATGTTGTTCTGAATTGCACTTAAAAAGCCTTTCTTGAAAAGTATTTTCTTTGGCTTCAGCTCTTGGGCTCTTGCTAGAATCACGTGGACTCCTGTAAAAAGAAGGGATTTAACTTACCAGCTGGCCTTTGTCTTTCTTCACCAAACTAGATTTGGCATTTGCTAAAAGTTTTTGTGTCCTAGAAGGATTCACAAGAGGGATATCATCTAGAGAAATTCTGAAAGAGAATGAGTTCTGCATTGTCTATGGCTCAGCATTGCCAAGAGAGACGAATAACAGTGGAAAACCCGCACATCCAGGCTCTTCAATTAGCATGCTGATCCAGCACAACTGTTTTGTTGTGCTTCATCAATATGCAGATCACATCTTACCTTCCCCTAAAGCATCAGTGGAGCTCAAAGAAGATTATTAAAAACACCTTGTATGAGATGAAAGTTCTGATGAGGTCTTTTTTTCAGGTGCGAAACCTGCTCCTGGGATTTGCTTTGAGAGAGTCAATTCTGCAGGTGATCCTTACGGCAACTGTGGCAAAGACTCCAAGAGCTCCTTTGCTAAATGTGAACCCAGGTAGGGTCTCTCCCTACAAACACAGGAACAAATGCCAGGGTGATGGGAGAGGGCTTATTACATTTAAAAATAAAATATTTAACTAGGTTTGTGTTTTGTTTGTTTGTTTCCTTCAGAGATGCTAAATGTGGAAAAATTCAGTGTCAAGGGGGAGCAAATCGACCTGTAATCGGTACCAATGCTGTTTCCATAGAAACTAATATCCCACTCCAGGAAGGCGGCAAGATTCTGTGTCGTGGTACCCACGTCTATCTGGGTGACGATATGCCCGATCCTGGTCTTGTGCTGTCAGGAACCAAGTGTGAAGATGGAAAAGTAAGGTTCTGAAATAATCCCAAACAAGAACATCGCTACCTTCATGCTGTAAAGTATTTTGTACTAAAATGTCTGGGTTTTGCTTGGGGATTTTTTTTTTTTTCCCCCACAAAAGAATTTTTTCTCATGCTCACACTGAGTCAGATTTTTACTCCCTTCTTCTTTTGCCCACTGTTCTGGATTACAGATTTGCAGATGCAATGCAAGTTGCTTAAGTTCATAATTGCCTTTTTTCAGAACAGCCCCAAATATCTGTCTGTGTAGGCTAGAGTTCTTCTGCAAAATAAGTACAGAGAGATATATTACAGGATCATTAAGGAATTTCTGAGTTCAATGTATTCAGTTTCCCAGTGTCTATAGTACTGCAAAATTGTCATTAACTTCACTTTAGGTTTCAAAACTTATTGTGTCTGCTGATTATGGTTCCCCCCCCCTTTTTTTTTCTTGCAGGAAAAGCTCTCTCTCTATGCACTATTAGAAAACTATAAACCCATTGATGTTCAGCCACCAAAACTGATTTTTTGCTATCATATTTTGCAAAGTTTGTGAATTATCCGGTGTGAATGTAGTCCAAATTTCATATGGCTGTCTCAATCTTAGTTTTTTTTTCGTGAGAAAAGGAACAGAGAAAGATGGGAGACAGCCATGAGTTTACGAGGGGAGGAATGGAAAGGAGTCCAAAAAGTATTGAAATGAAGGAGGTTTCCATACCCTCAGTGGATTACTTGCAAAAAGAAAAAAAAAAAAAAGTGCTTTGAAAATTTGTGGTAAATTCAAGAAGCCGCTAAATTTCTGGATGCTTTTGATTTATGTTGGATTATCACACTGCATTGGGAACAGGTTTAAAATACATCCCTCGTGAAACTACAGCTCTGTTAGAGGAAAACAACCCTTACAACATTTCTAAGTCAATCTGTTATGAAATGTGTTTTCAAGGAAAATTCAACACTGGGAAAGCACCCCATTATGTTTTACTAATGAGTATTTAATCTTTCTAATCTATCTAATCATACACATACATACTATAGAATACACAGGCTAATACTTCTGAAATTGTATGTTTTACTTTGAGGACATTAGTGCATTTGTATTATGGATTAAGAATATGAATTTAAATATTCTTGAGTTTTCTAAGCTGAAGATACACAATTTGAAATGCAGCCATTTTAATGTGATCAAAATTCTGTGTGCTACTGCACTATGAATATTTGAATTGTGAATACTGCTGTAATCAGACCATATTCTCTACATGCGTGCATGTTGATGCCAATTCACTCTAATTTCCTTTCCATTTTTCCTTCTCCCCAGGGGATAAGTGCCCTGATTAAGCATCCGTGTCATCTCCTTCAGCACTATTCCCTGCTTAATGCTAATTATGGTGACTGACTTTTAGTACTACTGAACTGAACTGCAGTTAAACATGAGCAAAATTGTGCAGTGGGGTTTTTTTCTTTTTTTTTTTTTTTTTTTTTTTTTTTTTTTTGGTCAGCATAGCATAGTCACAGTTATTCCAGTCCTAATTTCTTCTTTTTTCAGGTTTGAGCAGGATGACTTCTCATCACTGACATCTCCATCAGTCATTTAATTGTTTGATGGTATTATTAGATGGTACAAATCTTGCTTTACCTCAATTTTCAGCTATAAAAGTTTACCCATCATGACTGGAAAACAAAAAAAAAATTCAATTTTATTACTTTGCCTTTGCTATTTTTTAATTTCCGTTTCCTATAAGATTATTATTACACTTTAAATATGGTCAATTTATATTTGGCACCAAACCAAATTGTTTAGCTTGGGAAAACTCTTAGAAAGGTCCCGGTTTTGCTGAAGAACAGTGATGAGCCTGCATATATCAATGACCACTGTTAAATATCCAGGCTGTCCTGGGTCCAAGTTCTGTACCAGCATGAAAAAGTGTTGCACGGCTGATATCAACAGAACTATGCTAATTTGCACCACGAGGGGACCTGAACCTTCCCCTGAGGAATCATCTGCTGCTGTGAAGACATGAATGCAGCCAGATCAAGTACATGGACGAATCCTGCTCAGTGCATTCCTAGTCCTGAAAAAATGCAAATTACTGGTTTTTTTTAAATTGGCTTAAAACAACCCCAAATCCCAGCGGCTCACCACTAGTTCCACTTCAGTGGAACTGTGAGTGTTTATTTACACAAGCTCAGCATATCAACCAAATCTGAACTATGTCTGAAATTCAGCATTGGCCAGGGTGCCGGTCGAGAGCAGAATTCAACTTCCACAGATTTGGGCCTATAAAGACGTAGGAAGAAGAAGACGACACCTTACTCTGGTGTCCTTATCTTTTTGTCAATGTAATGTTGTCCGTGCAGCATGTGTATTGGGAAATCTTTAGCTGCTAAAAAGAACCATTGATGGATGAACAGACGTTCGGAGAGGGACATGATGCCTCGTGCGCACCAGCAGTTCTGTTCCTATTAAAACCCCTTTTCTCTTATTTTGCAGATTTGCCTTAATCGCCGGTGCCAGAATACAAGTGTTTTTGGTGTACATAAATGTGCAACAAAGTGCCACGGACGTGGGGTAAGCATTACAGGAACACTTCTTTTACAATCAGCCAATAAACACTGGACAAGAAATCATTTTATGTAATAGCTTTGGGATCTATGACTGTTTGTAATATATCGGTCAAAGTCACTGCAATGCTTTTTCATTATGGATTTCCATTTTCAGTGTCCCTTATATGAGCTGCAAGAAATGAAATTATTTTTATTTAACAAAGAAATATTTATCAAGTAGTAATTATCTTGTTCTTAATTAAGCGTCTGTGGTAAAAAGGAATTTTGTCATCTTCAAAGCAATGTTAAGTCTAACCTTCCTTCATGAAGAATTCCCATTAACATTTCAAAAAAGGCAGTTTCTGTGTGGATACAGAGAAGTTAAAATATGGATTTGAATTGAGAGTCAAATGGAAAAGCATTTCCAAAAGTATTAAAATAAAGTAAAACCTTATTGATGAGTTTCATGGTACAAAAGTGGTGAGGCATGACAAATTTTATGATATCTGTTAATAACATCAACATGTTTTGAAACCTAGTTTGTATTATGAAAATGTTAATTATGTCAAGCTATGCCTTATTAACCTTGATTTGCTGATGATCTGTTTGTTTCTGTGAAAAGCTGTGGCAACCACATTGGAAGAGCCATAGGAAATTCTCTGATCTCTCCTGAGAAGGGATTTTAGTTTGCTTTAGTTTATTTTATCATCCCGTATTTGAAAACCTGTGCAGTGCCGATGGTGCTGCATGTGATCGTTGTGCTGGAATGAGCATCAGCTTAGACTGGCATCTCTATGCACCATGGAGAACCTGTGGTGACTCCTGAGTAGCAAAAAAAATGACCTCATGGAATTGTAGATGGGAACTCCTGTCGCACTTTCATTTAAAAAATAATGCTTAACAAACGATATTTTTAATTATCTTGCTGCCTTTGAAAAAGAAATCTTTTTTTTTTTTTGCATTTTATATGACCATAGCCGGTCTACGCTATGTGAATGATATTTTAAGAGTCCGCAGACACAGCCAGGATAGCCTTTCTGAAACCCTGCTGGCTGACCTTGCCAGAAACATGTGTATTTGCAAACTCCCGTGAACTAACTGGTGTCTTGCTGAGGAACCCATTTATTAATCAGTTGTGCGGTTTCTCCGTGGTGGTGGTAGATCAGTGACGATCAGTGTTAGCACAGAATTTAGGACCATATTAACAACAGCCTCTTACAACTCTTACTTAGAAATCAGTTTGAGCATCAACACGTGACTGTGCCGTCTCTCTCCTGTGCAACAAAATTTTTGGCGCATTCAGTTCACGTATTCTGTCGATACAGCGTGGAGCTTTCGCCTCGGTATTGGTCACTTAGCCGCTGCTTGGGGGGTAGCAAAAGGCAATAAAAAGCAGCCCTTCTTTTGATGGGTGTTTGGGACCGTGGGACCTCCTGAGGAAAAAGCCATGAGTCTACCAGCTCCTTCGTCTCTGTGCAGCGGGAACAGGCTGATGTTAATGATGGATGCCTCTCCTTTGGAGCTCCCTTATTCTGCAGGGAGAATTTGGTAAATCACCTCTTGCTAGTTGTTCCTTAAGTCAGATTAAAACCATCAGAACACTGAGGACTGTATCTTTATAGACAGTGCAAGTGTGATATTAAAGGGAGGGTTTCCTCAGCCCTGATTCCAGTTTCACATGTTCTTCCACCAACTGGTTCATCTTCAAGCTAGGGGACCTGAGCAGTGGAAAAATCAGTGTGCAGGCTGGTGCAAGCTCTTGATGGATAGGAGTGTTCAAGTGGGCTGACAAAGCTTTACAGCATTAACAGCACAGAGAGACTCTTGCTCCTGTGAGGGCAGAAGGAACAGAAGTTAGGAAGCAGATAATGTTGCTGCTGGAGGCGAAGAGAAAATAAGACTTAGGAGTTGTGTGATTATCCTTATATTATTGAAGTTGTCAGCTGGTGCAACTCAAACGATTGCCTGCCAAATAAATAATGCTTATTTTTAGGATCCCTGTTGCTCTGTGGTGTCTTGCGCTCAAGAGATGCTCTACGCCACCTTAGTTGTGCCAATAGGCAGATACCAGCGCATCTCTTTTCTTCTATAAGTTTTCTTTCTTTCAGATGTGTCACTATCTGATTAGGAGGCCTTATCAGCGACCGCCGTTCTCAGGTGTATAGGGTAATCGTTTTTATGTTAGGTCATTCGTCTTGTTTTGCAGGTCTGCAACAATAAAAAGAACTGTCACTGCGAGGCTGACTGGGCGCCCCCCTACTGTGACAAGCCAGGGTTTGGTGGCAGCGTGGACAGCGGACCAATTAGGCAAGCAGGTGAGGAGTGATTCACGCTTTACTTGTTGTTTCCATGATAAAGAGTGGAAATACAAAGTGTCATCTTGTGAGCAAGGAGCTTCCAAGATTAGGAAATAAGTCAATAAATCAAATTGCTTAATCCAAACGCATTGGCACCAACTTGAAAATTCAGTGAAGCCAAACCAAGGCTAGCCGAGTGCATCAATTTTCTTGCGTAACTGAAGGCACAGTGCTCCTGGTGGGTTCTTTTCTTTGCCTTTCTATTGTTTTCAAGATACGTGGTCGAGTTTAGTAGCTCACTGCAGTAAGTAGGAAATGGTGTTGCTTTAAGCCGAGGATGAGGAGCTAGCTCTCACACTTGAGCTAATCCTGTCGCCACGGTAGATGAATGTTGCAGTGCTCTTGGATTCACCTTGAGATATGCCAAGCTCTGGAGTTCTCCACTGAGTGCATCAGGATAGAACTACCTTGTTGTGCACATAACCTGCTTCCGTAGTGGTGTGCCTAATGAAGAATGGATATTGCAGTGATTATAAATGTGAAATTACCGCACAATCAAATATCAAAAATATATTTGATATTGTGCTTCTAAGGAAGATCTTTTGTATTGTGGAAAAGAGCAGATTTCCAACCATATCAGATTAAAACTGCATTTTATAGATAGCTTCCACACATTTACCAGAAGTTGCCCTCACATAGGATAGCAGTAGGAGATGTGCGCTTTCTAGAATTTGTATTTCAATTTCCCCTTGTTCAGTCTGCAGAACATTGGCTGTAGTATCACACTTCACCTTTGGCCAACTTCAGAAAGAATTATTTCTACACTTTCTGAATTTTATAGGATTTGATAATCATCACATGCCAATTTTTCTCCAGAATACCGTAACTTTAATGACTCCCATAGAGATATTTCTGATTTATGTCTGAGCAAGGGACAGGACAAGCAGTCTACTCACATACACATATATAAACTAAAACTTGCTGGAAAATTATCTGTGTGTTTTCATATGAATAATGCTATTCAAAGCCAAAACGGATTGTATTCTCTACATGCCAGATCCCGCAGTGAATTGTAATACTGGATTTATGACATCACGGTTATTTCCATGACAAAGCTTCACATTATGATTTCACTGTCGAAAGATTTTATTTTTTTTTTAAATACCTACCAGTCGGTAAGATAGCAAAGAAACCGTGCTCAGGCGCTGAACAAGTGTGATTACTTGTGTGTTCGATGTTTTCTTTTAAGATTTGCTCTAAAGCATTGTAGTCCTTTTTCAGCTTACCTGAAAGCTAAGTACCTAGGGAGCTACAAAACATATTATCATAATGTGCTGCATAGACAACACTATCTGGAGAAGACAAATATAGGACATCTTTGCTAATTCTTGCATTTTGTGTTTTGGAAGCTAACTCTTCAATTTAGCAGAAAATTGTTTTAACAATAGTTTAATATGGGGTGGTAGTTTCACCATTTTTCTCAAAAGACAGTGCTACATTCAATAATACTGGGAATAAACAAATAAGAAAATTGCCAGAGGACCTAATTTTCTACTGCTGACAGTTGGATTTAAATATGAACACTTGATGGGGTGGTTTGGATTATGATCCGAGCAGTTTGCACATCTCTAAATCAAATTACAGAAGGATTAGCTCAATAAAGTACTTTCATCTTAGTCAAACAAGGCACATGGTCTCATTAGTATTTAGTAACTGATTTTACCCAGCTGGCTTAGGATAAACGTATGCATTTGACACTATATTTTTCTTACAAAGAAGCCTTAAATATTTAATTGTTAGGTAGAGAAGTTAATTAATTTAAATTGCATATTCTTAGCTTTTTAATTTCATTAATCTTTTAGAGAGGGTGAGGGATTTATTATTCTGCCGTGCTATAAGCAGCAGAGCACTTCATGCCCCATCGAGCCCCACGTGGAGTTTGTTCAGTCAGTGTTGCTGACTCCGTTCACCAGCATCCAAGTGAGCTTAGGCCAGTAGATGGGAGCCAGCTGGCTGAAAATCAATCAGGATAAGACCGCGACAGTGATGATAGGTTACCAGAGCAAAGATTAAAGATGTTTCTCCTACTGTGGGAGTGCGCGTTTTTTAGGTCAGCAGCCCTCAAGAATCACAACATCCTCTCCTCCAGGCGGTGATCATATCGCATACCCATAACGATCAGAGCTGCTGCTTACCTCTTCCTAAAAATAAGGCTTTCTTTCAGCGGCAAGTCATCAAGTCAGGGTTCATCTCACTATTGTGCCTCACTTAGGTCCCAGCAAGGTACTTAAAGCAGCTTAAAGCACTCTGAAAACTGGAACAAGTACAGAAGGCTGCAGCCCCTCGCTAAGCAGAGCATCCCTCTGAGCGCACGCAGCCCTGCTGCTGCAGGCTTTCCTTCGGCTCCTCGCTGGCCTCCAGATTCGACGTGACAGCCATCTGGGCTGGACCACAGTAGTCCAGTTTTCCGACTGTTTGCCCAGTGTTAAAAGCACAATGAAACCCTTAAAATCTGGTTATAAAGGAGCTAGGGTTATTGCTTATGGTTGAGGGGCAGAATATTTAAAAGCTTGCACTTTACCAAACCGTGATATTGGTGTTTCTGTCCCTTTTCTCGTCTCCCTCCCAGCCTGGCAGCAGGCAGCCCATGAAGAAGGTGCCAGTTGGCATTGCTACAGCCATCACCCGTGGGTGTTGGGACAAGGCCAACAGCCCATACACCTTATGGCCCCATTTGCAGGTGACAACCTAAGCAGGACCCAAGCAGAGGTGCAAGACAGGGTACATGGAGACATTAATTTTTGGACCCAGATGTCTGGCTAGAATAGAATAGTTCACTTGAAAGGGACCTACAACGTTATATTTTAATCAATTTTTTTCCTCAATGTCAAGTAACTTTAAAGCAGACCAAAATTCAAGCATCAGGCTAGAAGAAATAAGAGTTTATCAGTCTTTAATTCATATTTATTCACCTCACCCGCATTGCAGATAGAAACGCGGGCCAGGCATCCTGCTCCATCCACTTTTCAGTGAATATGGCTCTTGATAGAAGTTAACTCGATGTGTTTTGTTGCAGATAATAAGAGTTTAACCATAGGGGTGTTGATAACCATTCTGTGCCTTATCTTTGCTGGATCAATCATGTATCTGAAAAGGAAGACTTTCATGAAATGGTTGTTTACAAGTAAAAAGACAACAATAGAGAAACTAAGGTATGATCATTTTTCCTAATTAATAGGTGTAAGTAGAAAGTAGCTGTAAAGATGGCAGCTCTCAGCTTGATGTTCGTCACAGAACACCATGAAGATGTCAGAAAGAGCCAGCCTTAACAAAAATATTCACCAAGTATTTTTCCTGGTTTAGTTTCATTTTATTGATGTTCAGTAAATAACGGAGGTTTTGGTTTATATATGTACCTCTTCTCTTTTGTGATAAAAAATTAAGTGAAGGAAATATTGCCTTTATTTTCATTTGCTTGAAATAGTTTCATTACATTGCATGGCCTTTTCTCTAAACTCAGTCGAGTGAGCTGAAACTTTCATATTTGAGGTCATTACTGTTTAAATGCTAGATTCATTAGAATCGTCTCTTGGGTGTTACAAAGCTGCATTTCCACAGATTGCAGAAGCTCATTTAACAGACTACTGGTTTCCAAAAAATCAATATTTATTTTTATTCTTGCAGGACCACTAGACAATTTTTACTTTCCTTGTTTACCATAAAAAGTCCGAAAGTCCTTGCAAAATCTCATTCTGAAAAGAGGCTACTGTTTAAAAAAGTGTTATAAAGTAGAATGCTGTGTTCAATAAATATATGTTTATATTGCAAGTAGAATGCTGTGTTCAATAAATATATGTTTATATCGCAGGTCTGTGAGTCCAGCAAGACCTTCCAGTTCATCTGAGCCTAATCATGTTCATACCACATCTCTCAGTAAAAATCTCATCATGAAGCCACAAAATACAAACATACAAAAAGTGAGTCCTAAATAGTTTAAAAAAAAAAAAAAGAAGAAAAGAGCATATTATAGATTTTGGATCTCATTTAAGTAATTTATTATAACACAATTGTTACATGATCTTAATATCATGTAGAACTAACAGTATGTATGTAAAGTGGGAGGAGACGTAGGCTTCAAAATAAATTTATGGCTTCCAAGTTTTAGACCGATGGGGATGTCAAGTGCAGAAAAGAAATAGTTTAGTCTCCAGGATAGAGCCAGCCGGCTTACACCAGAACACGATGGCTAAATGGTGAAGGATTAGTGCTTGAATAGGACTCTGGAAGCTGTTAATTGCTTGTCTGGTTGCAGAGGTGTTGAAGGTAGATGAAAGCAGAGTAGAAGAGAAAAGCAAGCGAATAACATAGATTTCAAGAAGTAGTAATGCTTCTGTCAACGCTTGATGTTTATAACTTTTTTGTTGGGGTGGGATTGTTTTTATAGAGAGATGGTCCAAGACGACCACTGCCATATCAGGTGATTGACATCAGTAACCCCGTGAAGGCACACGATTTGCCACAATTGAAGACACCGCAGCGAGTCCTCCCACCCCTTCCCCAGCCACCGTGCCATCACGCTGTGCCTGAACGACCCTTGCCAGCTAACCCCTCGCTGAGGTTCGCCCAGGTAACCACACATTTTCTTTTCACTTCTATTTAATTTTTTGTGTGTGAGTATCTGCATGTGGTGAATAGGAATGAAGTGTTTTCTCATCATTCATACTGGCCTTTTTCCACAGTATTTCCTTTGTACAAGTTTAGAAATGCGGTGTAGATAATTTCATAAAGGTGCCTCAAGTTCCCCTTTTGCTCATGAAGGTTATATTGCTTTATGCCAACGGAGGCTGTGAGCCTAAAATTTAGGATCCCAAACTCTCTTTTCACCACTCAAAAGACACAAGAGTACAAAAAAAAGCTCCATATTACAGGCAAACACAGGCTCACCTTGCCAGCTGCCCAACCAGAGGGGAAACTGTTCAGGCTGTTAGCAAGGTGCCAGATACGGTGATATACTTTAGGAAGTCAAGTTGTGAATGTCTTGCGGAAGAGCAAAAGGTCTATTAGCTCGATGGGCTTTTGTTCTGCCAAGGGCTGGAGCTCCTCTGCTCTGAGGCCAGGCTGGGAGAGTTGGGGGGGTTCAGCCTGGAGAAGAGAAGGCTGCGGGCAGAGCTGAGTGCGGCCGGTCAGGGCTTCAAGGGGGCCCAGAGGAAAGGGGGGGACAAGGTTTTTAGCAGGGCCAGCTGGGACAGGACAAGGGGGGATGGCTTTAAACTGAAGCAGGGGAGGTTTAGACTGGATCTAAGGCAGAAATTCTTTACAGGGAGGGTGGTGAAACCCTGGCAGGGGTTGCCCAGAGAGGGGGTGGAGGCCCCATCCCTGGGACCATTCCAGGCCAGGTTGGCCGGGGCTGTGAGCAACCTGATGTGGTTCAAGGTGTCCCTGCTCCTGCAGGGGGGTTGGGCTGGGTGACCTCTGGGGGTCCCTTCCCACCCAAACCCTTCTATATTCTACAATTTTTTTTTTTGCAGAACACAGACCTGAAAAGCAGACTTGTAAATACCCACACTATTTCATGTACATGTCCCTTTCATTGCAATGTTTAAACAGAGCTGGTAACCCTTGTTTGTTTTTTTTTTTGTAATAAGATGCATCTCAAGACAATATTCAGGGTAGATGAAGTTGTCTGTATTAAATTGTCGCTTTTCTTGTCACTGGCTTCCCTCTTTTGGTTGCATTTGTAGCATGACTGTGTCTAAGCAAAGGAATCAGGCACCCGGCTATTTCAATTTTGTAGACGCTGTGCTATTCTGGATATAGTACAAGAATAAAATGAAGTGAATGTCGTTATCACCAAGCTATCTTAAATGAGTATCACATTGATTTGGATGCACATACCGCAAAGCCAAAGAAAGAGCTGCGTCTTGAGTGCCTGTTCCTATCTGTAACCGAGCTGGGACATCCAAGGACAGAGGACCTTCTTCGTGCCACAACCTTGAGAGCTACACTAAGAC